ATAAAGAGCAGTTTCTTCGGCACAGTCTGAATTCTTTCATGCTTTTCTCTTAACTTCATGTTTTTCCCGATGAATCTTGGAGGATATCCATTCTCTATGAGAACTTGTCTGAGTCGCTCCAATTCCCCATCGATTGTATCACTTGAACATATCCTCCTTATTCTTGAGGATAAGGAATGGATCAAATTTCTCTTTCTTCTTAAAGGGACCCAGCTATGGAAATTTGTGTACTGACCATTCCATGTTGGTTTCCTGTAGATCGATCTTTGAAGAGACCCATCAGATCTCCTCTTTAGAAAAACATCCAAAAAGTGGAATTCCGAGTTAATCTCTGATTCCGACGTGAATTTGATGGCATGATGGCAGCTGTTGAACTCCTTAGTTATCAATTCGATGTCAGTGTTGTCGTCACATATGATGAAAGTATCATCTATGTATCTTAGGTACAGATGGAAACTGTCGATAGTAGGCCGTAAAATACTATTCTCCAAACTGGCCAAGAAGCAGTCTGCAAGTAAAGGACCCAATGGTGACCCCATTGCTACTCCATCTCTTTGTCTATAAATCGTGTTGTTGAACTTGAATTGGGCATTTAGAGTGCACCTCAAAAGTAGGTCCTTTAAGTAGTGGATCGGAACACATACGTCCACAATATTATCCTCAATGAATTCGCATATAAAGCAGATAGTTTCAGTGAGCGGAACGTTGGTGAAAAGCGAAGCAACATCCATAGATAACATTTTTTTCCCTTATACATTAGCATCATTTATTGAGTCGACGAATTCAAACGAATCAGAAACACTATGCTTGCAGAGGTTATTTCTGATAGGTAGGAGGATTTCTGTGAGCCATTTGGCAGTAGCATGATATGGGGAATTTTTCATGTCCAAGATTGGACGTAGTGGCACGTTCTCTTTGTGCACTTTCGGCAGACCATATAAACTGGGAATCACGGAACCGGAGGGTCGTATTTGCTCGAATACTTCAGAGCTAATAATCGACTCGTTCTTCATATTCTTCAACATTTGTGTTATCTTGCTTTCAGTACATCAATACAACCCTGATCTCTGTATACAGAAAAAGTTTGTCCAGTCTCTTGTTCTACCTTGGTCTTAACCTAATCACTAATCGTTCCCTGTAAAATATATTTTTGATTTTGTTCTGAATCTTTAATTTTAATTTTAGTTTGCTTTTGCTTTAATAATTAATTCACTATTATCAATTTCATATATTTTCACACCTTCTTCACACTTGTTAAATTGACACTCTAATAACTTTATTCTCACTCAAGAGCAATTTCAACCTTTTCTAACTTCTATCTTTGTTCTGTCGAGTACCATGTAATTTACAACTTTTAATTTTCACCTCTAAAGCCACTTATGATTAACTACAGCATTATGTCACCCCCTATTACTCAATAATAGACCACTATACATTTTTCTAAGTATAAATACGACTGTACAGCCACCCTCTGAAGATGATTTCGTCGATAAGGAAAATTTTCTTCGCTGAATCTGCATTTTATTTTCTTCATGACTCAATGGGTATTTTCCGTGATTTTACTATTTCTATTATATTCATGGTCCTGTTGCTTCTTTGTTTTACTCTCATAATTGAAAACACCAACTTATCTCTATGATTGCTGTAATCTTTGTTTTTACCCTCACCATATCATGTAAAGAGAAGATTATATTCAATATTTTTAAACATGCTAGGATTCCCATACTGCGTCGACGATACTGTGTGAAACAAGCCCGCGGCAATTTTCACTTCTATTATTATTGTTACTTTACCTGTTATCATTACTACTATTTTCATTCTGTATGTTGCATGTTTTTGACACTACCTCTATTATAAATGTGGGAAATTTTCTGTGTGATTAATTTTTATTTATAATTTGAGTAAATTAGATGCAATATTGTGATTTTGAACAATGCAAGAACTACAGTTTTAGCAGAATAAAATGGTACCATCTTTTATTTCGTCGCCTTCTCGTCTGCTGCTTACATGGCAAAGACATTATTAAATATATCTACAACAACAATTTTAACATACTTGCACAGAGTTCAGTTTAAACAAAAATCAATCGATCAATATACGCAGTTACATTGGAAGGACAGAAAGAAGGGCATATCTACGATTTTCTGAACATGTACCAAAAAGCTTACGTCTAAAGGAACAAATGCTTTAAATAGTGCCATCACCAGGCATCTTCTTGACGCGGGTCATGAGGTTGACGTTGAAAAGTCGTTCAAAATTATCAATAAGCAAAATAGCTCAATTCTCCTTAAGTTTGCTGAAGCCATTTCCATCAAGCGCATGAAACCTGATTTATGCGTCCAGAAGGAAGCGGTTATCAGTCTTTCTTCGCCAACCTGGTAACTGGATAATTTCACCTCTCTTTCCTCCGAATGTGAAATGCTAAACGTTTCCATTGTGTTTGATTATTATTGTTCGGAATAGTGGTTAATATTGCATATTTATATATGTATATATTTTTAGTGTATGAGTATATTGATCGATTGATTTTTGTTTAAACTGAACTCTGTGCAAGTATGTTAAAATTGTTGTTGTAGATATATTTATTAATGTCTTTGCCATGTAAGCAGCAGACGAGAAGGCGACGAAATAAAAGATGGTACCATTTTATTCTGCTAAAACTGTAGTTCTTGCATTGTTCAAATTCATTAAGGGGAATAAATGTATGAAATATTGTGATTAATGCTGAAAATTCCATCCTGTATCACAAGTACTGTTTTTGGAATAATTTAATTTAATATTATAAATAAAAATGTCGATTTGCTCAAAGAACACAGTCAAATCAAATCAAATCTCAGAAACACTGAGAAAGGACTCAGATACTGTGGCACATGGGCTCACACCATTATTGCTAAAGGTTCGGAAGGAAGAGAACGTGTCTACAGATAGGAAGAAAGGCTACCTTGTGAGGCTGCCAGAGAAAGGCGACCTAGATATCTGCAAGAACTGGTGTAGAATAATGCTACTGTCCACGTCAAGTAAAATACTAAGTCGGATTATCCTGGAGAGAGTGAAAAATGCACTAGATGCAGATTTGCGCCACCCGCAGGAACGAGCTGGATCTCGTGGATGATTTACGTTTGATGTCACACAAAATCGAAGACTTACAAGCAAAAGACGACCGACAAACTGGGCAAAGAAGCATCCGGCGAAAACAGGACTCCAGGTCAACATAGACAAGTCGAAGGTTATGAAAATAACCAACAACAACAACAGCACCAACATCTAGTACCAATCGCCATCAACGGCAGGGATTTCAAAGAAGTCACTTCATTCACTTATCTAGGGAGCATTGTCTCAAATACAGCCAGTCGGGACGGACGAGGATGTCAAATAGAGCGAGAATCGGGAAGGCAAAGACATACACACATTCATCAACCTGAAACCAATCTGGAGATCTTCGTCACTCAGCCAGCATCAACAACAAAATTTAGTCTGATTTTTAATACAAACGTCAAGTCAGTCAGTTCTTCGATACAGAACGGATCAGACACTTGGCGGGCGGGTCACAAAGAATATTTCCAACAGGCTCTTTCAGACCTTTATCAACAACTTTCTTCGCTGGCTGTTTACTGAAGTTCGGATGGCCGGGCCGGAAACAATCACCAACAAGAAACTATGGGAACAAAGAAACTAAGCAAGAGCCGATCGCCAACCAACAAATATTCAGGGGAAAGTGGAGTGAGATGGATTGGACACTGGCTGAGGAGGCGGCTGGTTGACATCGCGCGCGCGTAAGGCCATTGCTCTAGTGGAATCAGGCCGAAAGGGAAGCGGCGAGTGGGACGTCAGTGCGAGTGTGACATGGAGGAGATTTTGTGAAGAAGAGTTTTAACAGTATGAACTAACGTGGATGCAGGTAAAAATTACAGCAGAAGACAGACGTGCAGTTGAAGCCTTATGTTCCACTAGGAACCCAAGGAAACAATATGTATAATAAATCATAAGCTGATCAAATTGTAAATCCACGCATCATCATCGAACAAAGCATAGAATGACAGTCACATCTCTAATTTAATTCAGTGTTTAATATAACTCAAACTAGGAGGCTTGCAGGCGAAAACCGACAAACTGGCTTAAGGGGCTGGCAGCGAAGACAGGCTTCCAGGTGAATGCAAAAAAGACGGAGGTTATGCAGATAACCAACCGACCAACAGCAACAATGAACAGCATCAATCACAATCAAAAGAAGAGACTGAAGAGAGGTTACCTCCTTCACTTATCCAGGAATCATCGTTTCGAACACAGGAAAGCGGAACGGATGATGATGGTGTCAAAGCTAGCCAGAATCAAAAAGGCACAATACGCTTTTATCAACCTGAAATCTGTTTGCAAATCTTCTGCACACCTCCTTAGCCGGCATAAAGAAAAAGAGACACATTTTCAACACACATATGTGAAATCAGTCAGTCAGTTTTTCTATACGTGTCAGAAACTTGACCAGTATGTTACGAGAAGGATTTCCAACAAGTCACTTCAGAATTTTGTCAATAGCTGCTTTCTCTAGCTGCATAGTGAAGAAACTGGCTGGCTGGTAACAAAGCAACAAAGAAGGGCTGACCACTCAAAAAATATATAGGTGAAAATAGAGATGGGTCCAGAATGTGTTGAGGAGACTATCAAATGGCATTGCAGTCAATGCAGAACATTGCTTGAGGGAAATCCGGACGGGGAGTGATGAGTGTGTCATTTATGTGAGAGTGATATGTCTGAGATCGTGTGAGGAGTGGAAGAGAGACAATAGTCAGTTGTGGACCCATCTGAAGAGGACAGAACCAAAGAGAACAAACTGAAGATGTATTGTTGAAGCCATGTGTTGCACTAGGAACCCAAGAGAATAATATTTATGTCCATCATAGAACAGTTATAGTACTCATACAGATCGTAGAAATCTTAATATTTTAAATATTCCATCATTCCAATTTTAAATATAAACTAATTTTCATTATTTCTTTCTTCAGAAACAAGAAGGTGTTCATGGCGGACAGCGTAGTGTCAATATGAAGGTTTGCTAAAGCCCAGTTAAATAATTACCTTTGATTTTAGGATTTTAAACATATTCGTGAATTAATATCGGAAAATAAACATAAAATTGTTGGAATTGGAGAGGTAATAAAAAAATCACATCAGAAATTGTATCATGCATATCAATTATTCAATTATTAAAACATAAAATAATCGAGCAAAGAATATCCTTTTCGAAAATTTCCACTTCTGGCTCTACAACTACATATATGCTTGTTTATATACACATAATATTCTATATTAGTAGTCAATAACAATATGAGTGCTTTTTAAATAATATAGATTTGTTAAGTAAGATCACAATGGAATTACAGTTCATTAAAGATGCTTAAATTAAATAATGATAAAGGTATAGTAGCGAATAGAATATCAACCAAAATTAGGAAAATCCCACAAAAATTCATTATCATTCAAACCTAGATGGCCAAGGTAAGGATAATGTCTGAACTAACTACTTTCGGACTCACAAATTAGGCTTCTTAATATGGATCCCCACAGCATCAACAATATTTAGCACTTGAACACTTAAGGTGAAATTGAGATTTGTAGGTATGCGGTAAATGTTCGGAAATTCGACAAGAAATATGCCTAATTGTACGGCCTATACAACTAACTGGCTCCACAGAAGCAATTACATTGGTAGATACACATGGAAGAGGCGAAATTAGGCAGTTTGTCTTTCACTCTCGAACGCCAAAGAGGAGTGGTTTTGAAGATACAGAGTAATTCGGCAGCAGGGAATGCACTTTTTACCGCATTTCTAAGGCTCTGTGTTAGTGTGACTGCATTCGTAAGAATAAGGCTTTTTTGGAACTGTTGGTAACTTGGACTGCTTTGGTTTTAGATTGATATTTCACTTAGCAACTGTTTAATACTATTATTTTCCTTCTTTATAGATTGGTTTAGATTTCACTCAGACTATCTGTTCATCGAATGAAATGCAAAATATACAAAAAAGTATATTCACAATGCAAATTCAGCTGGCGAAACAACTAAACGTACCAGTGTAAGTTTTGCTTCAATGATCGCTTTGCTTATTTATAGATTTGCAAAATGTTATGATTATCATGAATCAATCACAAAGTAGTAAATCGGTATAATGAGCTTTTAGTGTTTAGTTGGTTTTATTATCTGTGACTGAGCTGAGTTTTACATTTAGTCATCACGGCGAGGATTAAACAAGTAATTTGAGCCTGAAATGAAAGTTAGGACGTGTGAATATAGATTACAAAAGCCTTAGAAACACAAAAATTGCACAATATTAAGATATAATTGTAAAATAGTTATTTCAAACGAATTATAAATGTGAACAGGGAAAGCATGGAAACAAACTTAAAATAACTGTTTTTATAGCTGAAAAAAAATTAGGTGGATTAAACGAAGATTGAGGGACTAAGAAATCAGACACACAGCGAACGAAAAATGCTCTAAAGGAAAAAACAAGAACGAAAACAGACGAGGAAGAGAAAAAAAAAAGACGGAAACAAAGGGAACATACCAAGCTAGGTCCATGGTAGTTGTAGAGGTTGGACTAACTTGTTGGACTAACCTCTACAACTACCATGGACCTAGCTTGGTATGTTCCCTTTGTTTCCGTCTTTTTTTTTCTCTTCCTCGCCTGTTTTCGTTCTTGTTTTTTCCTTTAGAGCATTTTTCGTTCGCTGTGTGTCTGATTTCTTAGTCCCTCAATCTTCGTTTAATCCACCTAATTTTTTTTCAGCTATAAAAACAGTTATTTTAAGTTTGTTTCCATGCTTTCCCTGTTCACATTTATAATTCGTTTGAAATAACTATTTTACAATTATATCTTAATATTGTGCAATTTTTGTGTTTCTAAGGCTTTTGTAATCTATATTCACACGTCCTAACTTTCATTTCAGGCTCAAATTATTTTTTCAGTTAAAAAAAACTAGTTATTTTAATTTGTTTCCATGCTCCTCCTGATAAACAAGTAATTGACAAGCAGTAGTCTTCAAATTGGCCGCCATAGAATAATTTTATATGACCAAAAACTGTTGATCTTGCTTTTCTCTTGATTTTTGAGTGGAACATGGGACTCCGACAGCAAATCTTCGGTATTTTCTACCCTGTACTCTGCAGTCTTCTCCAGCTGACTTAACAAATCCTCTAAGGCTGTCATTTCCTCTTCAAATTATATCCACAGTGTTACATTCGGACTGATGCTCAACTACTCATTTGCCATTCGGCTTCCACTTAGGCAGTGTCACTTCAAAGTCTCCTCAGAGTGTGCTCAATCCACCTCCATTTTCTTCGCTATATTTATTGACTGACTTGTTCTTGACTGATTCCTTACCAGAGTCTCTTGCTGTCTATCCTTTATAACCGGCTATCGGAACTTCAGTATGGAACCGGAGAAAGCAGCTATTGACAAAGTCCTGAAATCTTTCATAAATGCTTTTGGTTGCGTGAGTATCAAGTTTCTAACCTATACAGAGGAACTGGCTGAATTGATATTAGTGTAAAAATCCAAATTTTGTTCTCTATGCTTACTGAAGTAGATTCCGAAAATAATTTGAGATTAATACAGGTCTGTCATGATTTTCCGTTTCTGCCGTTGGCATCTTAATTCGTGCCACCTGTAATTGGGGGGGGGGTAATTGGGTAAGGGAAAGAAGCTACCTCCTCGATATTTCTCCCGTCGTTGTTGGTAACCGGGAATCTTCACCACCTCTGTCTTCTCTATGCCCAACTGAAGTACTGTCTTCTCTGCTCATCTCTTCTGACAGCTTCTCGGTTAACGACTGTAAACTGTCGGCAAAACTTATATCTTCTACATTCTTCTTGTTAGCCTAAAGCATTCCTGTCTTCTTGTTCCTACGCATGGTCTGTTACAATATCCAGTCAACCACTGTCAGGTATATAATCAATGATACCAAGCAGCCATTTCTTACTCATCTCTTCCCTTCACAGACTTTGCTCAGTCTTTATGTTGTAGATAACTAGACACGTTTCATTCATTTTAATGAAGCTTTTGAATGAGATTGATAAGACTTTATGTCATCCCATAATTTTGAATTAGTTTCCACATTACTCCGCAGTCAACGCTGTCGAATACCTTTCCAAAGTCGATGCTTTGTCAATACTTGATCTACATATGATTTTGCTTTCTTGAATCCGTCTCGTTCCGGTGTACGGTGGAGTTCTGCATCAAGTGCATCTTTTTATTATCTTTTCTACGATGATGCGATTCGGTATTTCATTTGGTTAGAAAACAAGAGCATAATTCTGTGCTAGTTGGTGCAGAGGCGTAAGTCACCCCTTTTGTGATATCTTGACAAGATAGCTTTTCTTACAGTCAGTAGGCGGCACCTTTCCTTCTTTCTGAAAATTTTGCAAGAGTGGAGTGAGGATATCCGTTGTAGTCTCTAGATCCATTTTTTAGTGTTTCAGGAGTAGTTCCCTTCGATTGTATTCACATGATATTATATAAACTATATACTGTTATGAGAACATCAGTTCGTTAAAATTCCCCTCAGAAAAATGTTCTTTTAGAAGGTTTATCAGGCATTGATTGATATTATGCTACTTGAGCTTTCATAGCTGAACAAATGTGATATGAGGATAAAACGTTTTTTTATACAGAAAGAATAGCCCTTAACACATATGATCAATTGTTTTAATTGTTAGTGGCTCAAGTGTCCTTGTGTTTATAATAGAAGTTTGCGAAACATTATGCATACTTATACAACTACTATAGTTTACTTTTTATAAATGAGGTTTATTTTTCCATTAAAGAGTGAAAACTGAGTCCTGCCTATCAGCACGTTTTATGCAAATAGTATGTATGATATGAAGAGACTAAAGAGAGTGACTTTTCGACAGAAATTGTAAAGTCAATTCAGATTCCAAGGGCAACACTTAAAATTTACTGAAGAGTTGCGATTTATTAGAGGGAAGGTGTGCGTGCTATTCACCTCTGTTCTTCATTTATCTACTTTATGAACCCTTCCATATGTTTAAAATCAATCTGAACGAACAATTTGGCCTTCAGATTTTTACAAATATGAAATAAAATATTTATCGTTACAATAATAGCTGGTTATGTGCGTCGGTGGCATAGCGATTAAGACGCTAGCCAACCATGCACATTGTCTGGGCTTCAATCCTCTGCCACAGACGCACTTTTTTACCTCACTTAGCCAGAAATAAGGCTGTTAAAGAGGAAGGATTGGGCATGAGCTTAGCGACCCTATCCTGTAAAATAAACACTGCTACAGAAACTTCAAGCCAATAGCTTGAAGCCTTATGTTCCATTGAAGAACGTGAAGGAAAAAAAGTGCGATGTGTACATTTTTTTACGTTGAGTATCAGATGAGTTATAATGGGACAAAATAAGCAGTATGCATGTGACAAACATGCTGGTCTGAATTCGGTCATGCAACATTGTGAAATGTGAGGCAGTGAGGATGACGTAAAGTCACAATAGACCCATATAATCTAAAACTGATAAGTCAATTGGAACCTGTTAAATGGTTTTAGGTGAGTGGCTAATTCAAAAAATGACATGCATTAGAGAGGAAGTAGTAACACTGCAGTAAAAAACTTCCTCATGAAGTAATTAACAGGTGAAATGAAACAGATGGAGGTATACATTGAGAAAAGGGATAATATTACTATTAATAATTCCAAATTTTAAAAGTGGGAAATTCGATAGTATTGAATGTTAGAATGGGTGGGGTGTAAGTTATGGTAGCAATACACCGGCCGTACCATGGGCAAAATTTCGAAACGCGCTAGTGAACACTATCCAGACCGGCTAGAAAAGAGAGAACGAAAACGTGTATATAGTTTAATGACAAAACATCTGTTCAACTCAGAACATTCGGTGCCATTCAAAAAGTCTTCTTAAATCATAAACAATATTCGATCAAACCTTTGAAATGGAGTAAAATCAAAACATCTGGGCAAAGCCTAGCCACTAGCCACCCCAAAGCTCAGACTCACACTGTGTATCCAAAAGAAATACGTCCAACCCTTGTCCTTGTCATGGCCATCATAGACAGATATCTATTTTAATAGTGACTATCCTATTACCTTTCTTATACAAATCTCCTGTTTATTCACGTTAATTTTAAGTTTTTCTTGAACCCGTATTCAAACTACCATATTTTAATATCCGAATTTCCTGTCTGTTTTGTCATTTTACTATTTCTACATATTTAATCCCTGATTGCATAAACAATTATTGGTGACATTAGTTATTGATCCGACTAGATTTTTTTATCCAACCATCCTATCTATTTTTACTATTTCTACATTTTCAACGCCTAGCTTCACAGTATGTCAATCATCACAGTAATTATGATGCTCTTTAAGTGAGTATTTTTCCATCCCTTCTTTGCTTATTAAAGCATTTTAATACCTAATTGTAATTTTTGTAATTTGACATTTGACCGGAAATTATTCTGTAACTTTCCCATCTAATTATTATGTAATTTTACTAATTTTACCAGTGACCCGAAGTATTTCTGGGATAATACTACAAACTATCTACCTGACTATATTCTGTCTCCGATCTTCGTGTTTATTACACTTTATAATTCTGCAAATTTGACCTTTTACCGGAAATAGTTCTGGAACGATCTCAACGACTGTACGGTGTGGTGGATGGCTTGGTCGAAAAGAAAATTTACCTTGCTGTAACCGCCTTTTTTATTATTCTCTATAATAATTAATAATAGCAAACAAACCAAAGGAAAAAAAGAGATAAAAGGAGAAGACAGTCTTGGAGGAGAGAGGGGATTCTAATACATATATTTGTCGATAGTGGAAATTGCTCTTGAGTGTGTCTTTTTGAATACAAAGTTTCAGTTTTGTCGAACTTGTCGCAACAGCTTCAGCTATATGTGAAAGACATAAGCGAACTCTGCATAATAATGACTTACGAATGTGCGTTGAGAGCTATCTGATAGCCGAAATCGATAGACAGTAATTTACGTCAATGATTACGTCCCAAATCGGGGTCATGAACAAAAACATAAGAGC